ATTGGTCTTGTACATGTTTTGCTGTTTGCACAAAATATTCACATCTCTTGGGAGATGATAGCATAAGTGATATATTTTAAAATTATTAGCTTTATTTATTTTTTTATTTTATATGTAAGTGCTTTGCCTGCATGTATACCTTAGCACCACATATGTGCTTGGTGCCTGCCCAAGAGGTCAGAAGAGGGCTTCAGATGCCTTGGAATTGGAGTTATATTAGTTGTGAACTACCATGTGAGCACTGGACATCAAATCTGGGTCCTCTGCAAGAGCAGCAAGTGCTCTCAACCCTGAACCATCTCTTTACCACCTATATTTTTATTTTTTTAAAATTTTTTAATTTTTTTTCAAAAAGATTTATTATGTATACAGTGTTCTGCCTGCATGCCAGAAGAGGGCGCCAGATCTCATTACAGATGTTGTGAGCCACCATGTGGTTGCTGGGAATTGAACTCAGGACCTCTGGAAGAACAGCCAGTGCTCTTAACCACTGAGCCATCTCTCCAGTCCCTATTTTTATTTTTTAATAAAATTAAAAATTTTGTTACTTATTTTTATGCATGATGTTATTAATTTCATACTCTAGTTTCTTGCCACTACATAGGAACTGGATAGGTTTTTGTGTATTCGTCCTGGGTATGCTGACCTTGCTGTAGTTGCTTATTCGTTGGCAGGTTTTGGGAATTCTGTTGTGTGTTCTGCGTAGATGATCATGTCAAGGTGAACAAAGACAGTCTTATTTCTCTCCTCTCAAGCCGGTTGCTTTTCCTTTCCCTTTCCCTTTACAGTTTTAACTCCTGTAGTTTTCCATCCCAGATGCCTTTTCTGCTTCTGTGGCCCTCAGTGTGAGATTGCCTGTGAGCTGGGGGAGCGGGGAATGAAGGGGGAGAGGAAAAGTGGTGGGGGATTTCTTCCATCTCTGCAAGCAAACAGGAGGGCTTTCCTGAGTGTTTTTTTTCTAGCATGTGCTACAAGGCTCTGTGTGGGGAGCTTGGCAGTTTAGAGTTCAGGCCTAGGGCTATGAGAGAAAGTAGTAAACTCGCCTTCTTGGGTGGTCTCTTTGGTCCAGCTGCTCAGGCTTATTTCATGTGTGTCTCCAGTGACTCCACGTGCATTAGCTTGGGTTTAGTAGTTGTGTTCAGTGGCTGAGGTGGTTATATGCTTACCCCAAATTCCAGGATCCAGAACTTTCTCGGGCTGGGTATTTAGGATTTATCTGTCATCTACTGCAGCTGTCCATTGCCCTATGGGAGTGAGTTAACTGTGCAGGCGTTTCTTGGCTAGAGAATGTCCAGCCAGCTGGACGGAGTCCCCCAGGGAAGAGTACAGCTGTGACAAGGTAGCCAGCTCTTAGGATTGAAAAGTAACCAAGCCACCTGGGGAAGGGATCCGGGCCAGGACAGCATCCACTGCATTGTTACTGTTTCCGGGCTGACACGTCTCCAGTGTCTTCCTAAGTTGATCTTAGCCACCTCATTCAGAGTGTGTGTGTGTGTGTGTGTGTGTGTGTGTGTGTGTGTGTGTGTGTGTGTGTGTGTGTGTTAGGGGATGGTGTATATACATGTGCTACCTTGGTGCTTCCACAAGATTGATGTTAAGTGTCTTACTCTATTGCTGTCTACATTATTTCTTTAGGCAGGGTCCCTCACTGAGCCTGCTGCTCACTGATTGGCTAGACTGGCTGGCTACTGAGCTGCTGAGATCAGCTTATTCCACCTCGCACGCACACCCCCGCCCCCAGCACTTGGGATTCCGGGTGCACACCACCACATCTGGCTTCTTTTATGTGGGTGCCTGGGATCTGAACTTAGGTCCTATGTTTCTGCAGCAAGCAGCTTACCCATGCAGCCCTATCTCCAGCTCCTGCCTCCTTCTTTTTAAAACCTCTGAATTACTGTTTACTTCTATGGTAGACTGTAAATTATTAAAGCATTTTCATAGTGGCTTTTCATGTTTTCTTCTCCCTTCTACATCTCTTCCCCCTGAGGTTTTTTTTTTTTTGTTGTTGTTGTTGTTTTTCCCTTTCCTTTGAAAACAAACAGATAAAAACAAGTAAATCTGGATGTATTAATTACTTGTCTTGTTGATGAGACAAAAATACCTGACTCAAGCAACATAAGGAGGGGTTTATTTTGGGTGGTGGCTGCTGGAGCCCGAGGCAGGTGGTCACATTGTATTTGTAATTGGGAAGCAGATTGAGAGTGGTGCCAGAGCCTGAAGCCCATAGCTCCTCCAGCGGTAGCTCCTCCTCCAAGGCTGGCCTCCAACAACCACTTCTTCTACTAGCTAGGCTACAGTGTCAAAGGTTCCACAGACAGCGCCGCCAGCTGGGGACCAAATGTTCAAACGCACAAACCTGCACAGGACATCCACATTTAAACCACAACAGTTGGCGAAGTGCCTGTGATTTTTATGCCATTTTAGCAGCAAGGGATGCATCTTAGAGTGATTAAAGCACTTCTCCCAGGACGGACATTCAGTAATGGAACCCAAAAGGCCATGGTATGATTGTGTTCATTTTGACAACAGGGCCATACCAGCCTGATTGCAGCCAGACATGCAGCAGTTCCATGTTAATTATTATTGCTATAAATAAGATGGGCAAGCTTTTTCTTACAGGGCCAGATAGTCAATTTTACTTTAGACTTTTCAGGCCAGAAGTTCTCTGTGGCATACATTGTAGTCTGCCATTGTTTTGAGAATACAGAAATTCTGCCGTAGATAATAGAGAAATGAAGCCAGGTATGAATGCACATGCCTGCAATCCCACCACTTAGGAGGTGAGGCCGGAGGATTAGGAGTTCAAGGTTTCCCTCAGTTGTGTAGCAAGTTTGGGGCTAACCTGGACTACCTGAGACCATGTCTAACCCTCGTACTCCCTTCAAAAAAGAAAAAGGAAACAGAACTGGCTAGGCATGGCTGTGTTCCAGAACTTTATTTGCAGAAGCAGATGGCGGGTCCAACTTGTCCAAGAAAGTTAAGTCTTACAGTTTGTCAGCCACGGGCCACTAGCAATTTTACGTGCGGCTGTGGGTGCTGAAATTGCCTGGCAGTACTTGTAGGGCCATCTAGAGGACCCAGGATATATATTGCCTCCCAAGATGAATCTGGAAATAAAAATAAAAGTTTAGAAAATTGCCATTAAGAATTCAGCAGTCTCTAGGAATTGGTTTTCTCTGCTTTGAGAAAGTGATGGGAAGGAATACTGGAGTAGACCGAGGCTGTAACTTGTGAGACACACCATAAGGACGTTGTGTTTCCTCTGTTGTGAGCTGTATCAGTGGCTGACTTTGTGAGAGACCAAATCTGGGATAAGGGAGCCACAAGCTTTTGAGTGGCCTCTTCTTCCCTTTGTAATTACAGGCTACTGGATCCAACTCCTGTTTTTTTCTTTAGGTCCTCCATTTTATTAGATTGTTTTTCTGTTCCTGGCTGCTTTTTCTGTGGCTTACTTTCTGTTCAAAATTCCTTTGACTTGGGGTAAATTGTAACCATGATGTATGTGTGTTGAAGCCTTCCTGATAACATTTCCATGACCTGGGACAGGGTCATTCTTGATCCAAATCTTAATTAAGGAATGTTAAGGAATATATTTACATTTAAAAGTCTCTTTAGGGGATAACTAAACTTGCTATCACCAGGCAGGCAACTTGCTCTCGTGAATATGCAGTTTATATAGTTGTCATTTAGTTTGTGATCATAAGATATTTGAGAATGGTTTGTACTAGTTTAATGTGTAACAGTTTAATCATACTTGAAAGTGATTTACAACAGTTTAATCTGCTCAGGGTAATTATCTGGCTTATGTGCAGCAGAACTTGGCACAAGGAGGTCTGTATAATGGGTGCTGTTCTAGCTTTTTAGACACTAGAGATCCACATATCTGTAAATAACAGTTACATGAAGACCGTGTTCAGGAGGTTGCGAGCGCACTGGTGTTGAGCCGCGTGCCCTTTAGCAAGTTAGCTTTCTCAGCACCTTGCTGCCTAAGCTGTGAGACAGGAGCCGCAGGAATAATAAAGCAGGCAGAAGGCTTTTTGTGGGGACCAGATAGGTCAGAGAGGAATGGAAACGATGTTGCTGTTTTTGTTTTGGAGACAGAGTCTTGCTATGTTGTCTAGGCCAGCTTTGAACAACTAGGTTAAAAAATTCTCCTGTTAGGGCTGGAGAGACGGCTCAGCAGTTAAGAGCACTGACTGCTCTTCCAGAGGACCCGGGTTTGATTCTCAGCGCCTACATGGCAGCTCACAAACTGTCTGTAACTCCAGAATCCAACACCCTCATACAGACATATATGCAGGCAAAAGACTAATGTACATAAGATAAAAATAAATAAAATTATAAAAAAAATTCTCCTGTTTCAGCCTCTGAGGTAGCTGGGACTTGACACTTGGTTTTAACATCTGGCACAGCCTGAGTGCCAGCGTTAACTGCGATTGCTATGTGACAGAGAAGTTCCTTTGAGGCGCTCTCCAGCTTGGGGATGAATATCTTTTTGTTTAATATTTTATGTCTATCTTCTGTGTATAAATGGAAAACTTCGTGTTCTTTACTATGGGTTTTCATTCTGTTATATCTGAAACCATATTTAGCAGCATACTAATGTATGCGAAACAGTGGTGCAGAGGAAGCTGTCTCAGCGTACGCAGGGCTCTGTAAAGAAAAGAATCAAGTTGAAATGAGGGCCTCCTCAGCCAGGCATGGCGGTATGTGCCTGTAGCTCCAGCACTCATAAGGCTGGGGCAGGAGAACAGCTGTCAGTTCACCGTCAGTCTGGGCTATATCGTGAGGTCTAGAGCAGCCTGAGTGAGAGTGTGAGCCCCTAGAGGAGAGAAAAGCAGTCCCCCATTCTCAACTCAGGAACTAGGCATGTGAGCCCCTGTAAGCACCGAGCGTCCAGTGTCTTTAGAAGCTACGAGGTGGTGGGAGAACGGCTCACCTTCCTCGGCTTTGAGTCGTCACACCATGCCCTGGCTCATTGTGTCTTTGTTCATCTCTAGGATGATTGAGGAAGGTGGGAACAGGCGGAAGACCATGGCCGAGAAGAGGCAGCTCTTCATAGAAATGCGTGAGTGTCCAGGGGGTTTGTGTTTTGTCTGTCTGTCTGTCTATCTATCTATCTATCTATCTATCTATCTATCTATCTATCTACCTATCTACATGTCCTGGAACTTGCTCTGTAGACCAGACTGGCCTCGAACTCATAGAGACCCAGCTGCCTCTGCTTCCTGAGTGCTGGGATTAAAGGTGTGCGCCACCACCACCCCCTGGCTAGGTAATAGTTTTAATCAGTTAGAAATTGTATGTTAGAAGCCTTAGGGGCTGGAGAGGTGGCTCAGTGGTTAAGGACACTGACTGCTCTTTCAGAGGACCCAGGTTCAAATCCCAGCACCCATTAAAAAAAAGAAAAAAGAAAAAAGAAGCCTTAGAAAGGGAAGAATAGGAGTTACAGAATCACGGAGTTGGAGGACTCTAAGCCACAGCTAGTATTTTCCTTGAATTGACTTGAGGCTTGAGTTGATTTTTTTATTCTCCTCTCTCTCTCAGTCATCCCCCACTCCCCCACCCCTCTCCAGGGTCTTACTATACAGCTCTGGGTAGCTAGGAACTTGCTATGTAGACCAGGCTGGGCTTGAACTCACAGAGCTCTTGCCTGCTTCTGCCTCCTCAGTGCTTTGAATTGCTTTCTTAGTTAAGATGGTAAATAATAAGGTAGAGTGGAATGCCTGTGACTTTAAGTCATGCCTACTGTTTGGAACTCTTTCTGTAACTGTTGATACCATAAGCTTGCAGGTGGTGATAAGTAGTTAATAATTAATACATTACATAAATTACCTTTTTACTAGATGCCAGGCATGCAGTAGAGAGAACTAAGCGTTAGAACCCCAAAGAAAGAACTTTACTATCCACTTAAAAATCTCCTGTTTAAATTATATTGTGGCCGGGCGCTGGTGGCACACGCCTTTAATCCCAGCACTTGGGAGGCAGAGCCAGGCGGATCTCTGTGAGTTCGAGGCCAGCCTGGGCTACCAAGTGAGTTCCAGGAAAGGTGCAAAGTTACACAGAGAAACCCTGTCTCGAAAAACCAAAAAAAAAATTATATTGTGATATTTAAAAAAAAGGGGGCTGGAGAGATGACTCAGAGGTTAAGAGCACTGACTGCTCTTCCAGAGGTCATGAGTTCAGTTCCCAGCAACCACATGGTGGCTTACAACCATCTATAATGAGATCTGGTTCCCTCTTCTGGCATACAGGCAAAACTTGCAGAAAGAACACTGTTCATATAATAAATAAAATAAATCTTTAAAAAAAAAAAATCCCAAAACAGGGCCTGGAGGAATTGGGTGGTTCCCAGTATTTTGTTTTTTATGTGTTCGTGTGACTTTGATCATATGATACAGGCCACCTCACACTTGTTAGGTAAGAAATTTCTTTATAGTGTTGGTATGGATTAGTCTTTGGAAAACCGTGTGTGTGTGTGTGTGTGTGTGTGTGTGTGTGTGTATGTGTTTTCGAGACAGGATTTCTCTGTGTAGCTCTGGCTATCCTGGAACTCACTCTGTAGACCAGGCTGGCCTCGAACTCATAGAGGTCCACCTGCCTCTGCCTCTCCAGTGCTGGGATTAAACGTGTTTGCCACCACTGCCTACTGTAAACATTTTAAAAACATTTTTATGGGTACTACTGCAAAGCTGGGTCTGGGCATGTGGGCATGCGCCTGTCATCCTAGTACTCAGAGGTAAGGCAGGAGGACCATGATGAGTTCAAGGACAGCCTTGGCTACATACTGAGACCCTTATCTTAAAAAAAAAAAAAAAAAATTACAAAACTGGTATTGCATGGCCGAATCAGGAAATAGGAGGCAGAAACCCAGACTAGGAATGTCCACAAGGTACTTGAAGAATTCTGGAATTCTGCCTGTTATGCTGTAATTAACAGGTGAAGTTTCCAAAGATCTTTCGGCTCTCAGCATAGTTTGAATCTGTGGAGACTTAGTCGGTGGAGGCAGAGTTAGGCTCAGCTCAGAGGTGTAGGCTGACGACTGTTAGAGTCATAGAGAAGACATGTTGGCACCGAGGGCTAGTTATTTAAGGCAGGTGCTCCCCCCTGTCTCCTGCCCAAGGACACGAAGTGCAGTTGAGCTTACTTGAGGCCTGTGCACTGTCTCCCATCCCCCTCCCTCCTGTCTTCTCTCTCTTCACCGGGGTCTCATCCAAACAGGATTGATCTCACCATCCTCTTGTCTCAGCTTCCTGTGCTGGGATTACAGGTGTGTGTGCCCATGGCTGGTTCTGTCATTGAGTCGTGGATCCTGCTCCCCGAACCACAGGCTGTGCAGTTAGAATGTCTGGTCTGGATCTTGGTTTCCACGCTTAATGACCTTAGGCATATAATCTTGTATATCTATAACCTTGGGCAAGTTTCTTTCTTTCATTTAAAAATTTTATTATTATTATTATTATTATTATTATTATTATTATTATTATTTTATGTGCATCTGAGTGAGGGTCAGATGCCCCTGGAACTGGAGTTACAGACAGTTGTGAGCTGCCGTGTGGGTGCTGAGAACCAGGATCCTCTAGAAGAGCAGCCAGTGCTCTTAACCGCTGAGCCATTTCTCCAGCCCCCTCATTTAAAATTTCTTAAGAGTCTCTGGGACTTTACATTTATTCCTTCACTTATTCCCTGATAAATCTATTGATTGATTGATTGATTGCATGTGCATGCACATGCTCACATGCCATAGTGTGCACGTAGAGGTCAGAGGATGTTTTAGTTAGGGATATTATTGCTGTGATGAAACTTCTGGGGGAAAGGGTTTATTTCAGCTTACACTTCCAGATAACAGTCTATCACTGAAGGAAGTCAGGACAGGAACTCAAGCAGGACAGGACCCTGGAGGCAGGAGCTGATGCAGAGGCCATGGAGGGGTGCTGCTTACTGGCTTGCTTTCCCAGGTTTGCTCAGCTCAGCCTGCTTTTCCTCGCCCTCCTCCCCTCCCCCGTCAATCACTAATTAAGAAAATGTCTTATAGGCTTGTACACAGCCTGATCTTATGTTTTCTCAGTTGAGGATCCCTCCTCTCGGACAACTCTAGCTTGTGTCAAGTTGACATGAAACTCACCAGGATTGAGGACAACTTGCAGGAGTCAGTTGTTTTCTACTGTGTTCCAGGGATAGAACTCAGATTGTCAGGTTTGGTGGCAGGTGCCTTTACTTGATAGGTCATCTTGTCAGCCCTTAGGCCACGTTTCTTAATTTCCCCATCTATGGGTTAATACCGACATCATAGAATTCTTGTGGTTAGCTGTGATAACACAAGGAAAGTACTCTGCACAGTGCCTGACCAAGAATGTGATTAACTCTGAGTTTCTCTGTGTAGCCCCGGCTGCCCTGGAACCCGCTATGTAGATTAGGCTGGCCTCGAACTCACAGAGATCTGCCTGCCTCTGCCTCCCGAGTGCTGGGATTACAGGTGCGCGCCACCACCGCTGGGCTATGTTAAAATGTTTTAAAAGATTTTTAAGGATTTATTTTATGAATATGAGTATTTTGCCCTGCATGTATGTCTGTGTGTCACGTGTGTGACTGGTGTGTCCTTAGAGGTCAGAGAGGGCTTTGGATCTCCTGGAATTTGACTTACAGATGGTTGTGAGCTGTTTGAGGTGGGTGCTGAGAATCGAACCCGGGTCCTCTGCAAGAGCAACAAGTGCTCTCAGCCACTGAGCCATCTCTCCAGCGTCCATTTAAAACAATGTTTATCATCTTTTAAAAAAAAAGTTCTTAAAAATCATTTTGTGTAGGGCTGGAGAGATGGCTCAGAGGTGAAGAGCACTGGCTGCTCTTCCAGAGGTCCTGAGTTCAATTTCCAGCAACCACATGGTGACTCACAACCATCTGTAATGAGATCTGGTGTCCTCTTCTGGCATGCAGGCATACATGCAAGCAGAGCACTGTATATATAATAAATAAATTTAAAAAATCATTGTGTGTATGAGTGTTTTGCCTTCAAGTATGTCTATATACCACTTACATGCCTGGTGCCAGCAGACGGCACCTAACCACCTGGAACTGGAGTGACAACCGTTGTGAGTTGCCATGTGGGGGATGGGTGTGAACATTGTTATGACAGTTATGAGCTATGTGGGTGGTAGGTGTGAAAATTGTGCCTAGGCCAGAAGATGGCACCTAGTCACCTGGACTAGGAGTTACAACAATTATGAGCCATGTAGGTGCTAGGAACAAACTTGAGTAGCCAGTATTCCTAACTGCTGAGCCGTCTCTCCAGCCCTCTTATTGTTCTGTTTTGAACTCAGGCAATAAGCACCTGATACGTTGTGCTAGAGCCGAGCTCAAGTCTATCAGTGTGCCCTAGATCACACTGTATGTGATCTAGATTAAACCATATAAATCCGTGCCACATCCCCGCTCAGAATTAGCCTAGTTGTTCCTTGTTAACTCCATAAGAGAGTTCTGGCTCCAGACTATGCCTTTGGGCCCGTTTCTTGCCTTGTTCACAAGTTCCCAGTTTCTATTTCTTGCTTGTGTTAACTTTTTGTTGCCTGAGATGATCGACTTATAAAGAGGAAACTTTGGTTTGTCTCGAAGCTTGGTGGTTTCAGGTTTTTAATTGGCACCCCCCCCCCATTCCTTTTATTTTTATTTTTTTTACAGTGCCAGGCTGTGAACATTGGGCCTCCAGCATGTGAGGTAAATGTACCCACGGCGGGCCGGCCACACGGGAAAACCGTGTTTTTCCATAGCGGCATATAAATAAATAACAATGGCCAGTTGCAATGAATAACCTTCAGTAAACTCACTCCTATCTGCTACACCTGGGAGGGGCATGAAGAAAGCATAATCCAAGAACAGTTCAGTGTTTTGAAGAAACTGCTTGGCGTTTTCTTGCAAGCACCCAGACTCCCCTTGCACGACTCCATTCTTGGACTGTGTTCCCGTATTTGTTCACCTCCCATTGGTGTTTTGATTGTGTGTGTGTGTGACTGTAACTGTGCCAGCTTCCATGTGTCCTGCCTAGTGTGTGTCTCCTGTAAACAGCATAAGTAGATTGTTTTAAAAATCTGGGGCTGGGGATGTAGAGCAGTGGAGAGTTCTTGCTTAGCATATGGTGAGACCCCCCAGGTTCAACCTTCAGTACCAGGGGTGGGAGCGGGGAAGCCAGTGTGACAGCCTGCCCGTGCCCCATCGCTGCTTTATTCTGTTTGACCTTTGTGGGTGTGAATATCACTACATTTTATGTTTTATGACTTTACTTCAGTTCTGTGTGTGTGTGTATGTGTGTGTGTGTATGTGTGTGTGTGTGATTTGTGTACATAGGTACATGTGTGTGTAAATGTGCATTTTGTTTTATTTTTTTGACAGTTTTTTGCTGGGACTTGAGGCTCAGGGGTTACGGGCTAGCTGGCCAGTGAGCCCCAAGGACGCATCTTGTCTTTGCATCCCCAGCCCTGGAATTGCAAGCCTGTAACAGCATGCCTGGCTTTTTATGTGGGTCCCGAGGAGCTGAACTTGGCTCCTCATGCCCGCAAAGCAAGCACTCTATTGACTAAGTCCTCTCCCCAGTGCGACTGAGTCCTTCCTTACTGTTCTCTCCCTTCCTGCCTCCTCTTGGGCAAGTTGAGCTTTACATCTCACAGTTTCCCTTCATTTGAGTGTGCCTGAGATACTCTTTTTGGTTACCTTGGAAGTTATAACATCAATTCATGCAAAGTCCAAGCTTACTAATATTTGTGACCTCATTGAAAGTAATACAGGTGCATTACTTCTTTGTGAAGTAATGCTGTCTTTTAAAAACATGTCATTATTTTTATAATAATCACTTTTTCGGAAATACAATCCATTTTATTATTTTTCTTTCCTGTGTGTGCCATATTTTTGTTGTTGTTGTTGTTAAATCCAGATTTTAAGACTATGCATATGTGTGGGTGCCAGAAGAGGACTTTAGATTCCCTGGCACAGTATTTACAAGTGGTCGTGAGCCACCTAATGTGGGTGCTGAGAGCTGAACTCTGGACCTCTGCAAGGACAGTAAGTGCTCTTAACTGCTGAGCTATTTCAACAGTTCCTAAATCCAGATGTTTTAACACGTAAATCCAGGGGAAGCCAGGCTTGTGCTCCATTTCTTCCATTTTTCCTTGTGAATGTTGTCTCATTTTTCCTAGTTCACTCATGGAGGCAGTCACCCTTCAGTGCTCTCAGGGTTTCATCTTTCCCCGGGATTTTTAATCCTCCTGCCAAGGGGACAGACATCCTTGATGCTGCGCCTTTGCTAGTACTCTGTTTCATGTGTACGAGGGCATGCTAGAGCATGCGTGTGGAGGTTAGAGGGCAGCATTCGGGACTCGGGTCTCTCCCTCACATGCAGGTTGTCGAGGATTAATACCCGCTGAACTACTTCACAGGCCCTGCACTACTATTCTCGTGGAAAAAAAAAATTATTTGAAATGCTTACAGTAGTTTAAGCAACACAGACACATAGTTCTATGAACTCTACGTTTTAGTCCATTTCTGCTTCTAATAACATAACATGCAGACTAAGTAATAAAGAAAAGGTTTATTTTGGCTCATGGTTCTGGCCTGAGTTGCAGAGCCGCATCTGGAGATGTCCTTCTTGCTGGCAGGGTCCTGAAGTGGGTGAGGACACTGCCTCGTGAGAGATAGGGAGTGAGTCGTGAGTCTTCTGGCCTCTTCCTCTGCTGGCGGTGGTTTTTATTCATTTATTTATTTTTTAAATTTAGGGTCTCACTCTAGCTCATGTGGCTTCCTATCTCAGCCTTCCAAGTGCTGAGATTACAGGAATGTGCTACTCGCCCTGGCTCTGGTTCTCTCTCTCTCTCAACTTTATTTTTATTTTATGTGCATGGATATTTTGCCTGCATGTACGTCTGTGCACCACTTGTATGCCCGTGGAGTCCAGAAGCCAGCATGGGATCTCTTGGAGCTGGAGTTACAGGTGGTTGTTATCCACCACATTCAAATACAAATGAAAGGAAATGCTTTTTACTTTTTAAAAATCTAATTTTTACCTTTTTTTTGGGGGGGGAGGGGGGAGGGCAGAGTCTCATTATATAGTCTAGGTTGGCCTGGAACTTGCTATGTAGATCAGGTTGGCCTTGAACTCAGAGATCTGCTGGCCTCTGCCTACTGAGTGTTGTGATTAAGGATGTGTGCCACCAGACTCAATACTTTTTACTCCTTGATGGGAGCTTACAGCAGCCAGCCCTGGTACTCCATGCCTGTCATGGCAGCACTCAGGAGGATGAGACAAGGAAGATCCCAAGGTTGAGGTCAGGCTGGGTACACAGTAAGCTCAAGGCCAATGCTACTTCATGAGACTCGGTTGAATAAAAAATGGTCTGGCGGTGTAGCTCTGAGGCAGAGCACTTGCTGGGCATATTCCCTGAATTCAGTTCCCAGCACTTGAGGTGGTGGTGGCTTTTTAGGGGAAGGGGTATAGTATACTAGAAGCAAAGACGTACCATTGTGACCGACTTGAGCAAAGGACAGTCTGCTACAGAGCGAGGAGGGGACCTTAGAGTTAGCTGTTACAGTTCCCTCTACCCATGAAGCCACACGCTGAAAAAGAGATCTGCAGTGTGGCCACGGATGGGTTTATAGTCAGACTGAGGGCTGCAGATTAGAGATCTCCTCTTGTCAGTCTCCCTGCCTGTTTGAGATGGGTCTCACTGTGTAATCTAGGCTGGCCTTGAGCTTGTAGCAATCCCCCTGTCTCAGTAACACTCTTCTTCTCCTCCTCCCTCTTCGATAGGGTTTCTCTGTGCATCCCTGTCTGCCCTGGAACTAGCTTTGAAGAACAGGCTGGCCTCAAACTCACAGAGATCCCCTTGCCTCTACCTCCTGAGTGCTGGTGTTTACCTTCTTGACTCTCCTCTCCTCCACTGTCCCTTCCTAATCCTTCAGCTCACTACCTGAAGACACTGTGTGTTCCTCCTCTTGGAGTTCTCTCTAAGGCACAACTGTGGCAGCGTCTTGGCATGTAGTAGGCACAGGCAAGGTGTTTCCTCATCTCTTCTCTTTGTATATGTCACGGTGGAACCACACTTCTATGGTACAGTGTATGGACTGCTGAGTACAGCTCAGCTTTTTACTGTGTCCTCTTCTCAGGTGCTCAGAATTTTGATGTCATACGACTATCAACTTACAGAACAGCTTGCAAGTTACGATTCGTACAGAAGCGATGCAACCGTAAGTCATTTCTTATTTCTTTGATGGGCAGATAGGGTTCCTGGTATTATGAAATAATTTTAATACCTTTCAGGCATACTATGAGGTTAGTTGAATTCTGTTTGTCTTTTTGTAAATAATTTATCTTTATTATTTTTAAATCATGTATGTATATAAGTGTATGTCTACATGTGGGTTCGTGCACATAAATGTGGATGCTCCCAGAGGCCGGATGTAGGCGGAGTTTTTCTGTTCCGCCAGTCAGCTCTGTCCAACCAGCTGGCTCCCAAATAACCACACAAAGACTTACTATTAATTATAAATGCTTGGTTGATAGCTCAGGCTTATTACTGACTAGCTCTTACAATTTAAATTAGCCCATATTTCTTTTTTTTTTTTTTTTTTTAGGTTTATTTATTTATTATGTGTACAGTGTTCTACCTGCATGTCAGAAGAGGGCACCAGATCTCATTTTAGATGGTTGTGAACCACCATGTGGTTGCTGGGATTTGAACTCAGGACCTCTGGAAGAGCAGCCAGTGCTCTTCACCTCTGAGCCATCTCTCCAGCCCTAGCCCATATTTCTTATCTACGCTCTACCATGTGGCGGTGCCTTTTTTCGGTCTGGCGTATTCATCTCCTGCTTCCTCTGAATCTGGCTGGCAACGCTAGTCCTCTTCTTCCCAGCATTCTCCCTGTCTGGCTCTCCCACCTAACCTCTACCTGCCCAACTGTTGGCCATGTAGCCTTTTATTAAACCCATCAGAAGGTTCCTTGGCAAAGGCACATCTTCACAGTGTACCAAATGACTATTCCACAGCAGCCAGAGGCATAGGACCCCTTGGAGCTGGGGTTGCAGACAGCTGTGGGCCACCTGACATGGTTGCTGGGATCTGAACCTGGGTCCTGTGGAGGAGCAGTAAGTGCTTTTAACCACTGAGCCAACTCTCCAGCCCCAATTCATTCTGTTTGTCTTAAATATTTATCAGAATATAAGCTTTGTAAATGGAATGCATTTGATGACATATTCCTGTTTCCCTTAAAATGCTTAACAAGCCGGGCGGTGGTGGCGCACGCCTTTAATCCCAGCACTCGGGAGGCAGAGGCAGGCGGATCTCTGTGAGTTCGAGGCCAGCCTGGTCTACAGCGCGAGATCCAGGAAAGGCGCAAAGCTACACAGAGAAACCCTTTCTCGAAAAACCAAAAAAAAAAAATGCTTAACAAAATTGATGTTATAAATAATGTTGTTAGAATGTATTTTTTATTACATTTTTATTTACTCTGTGTGTGTGTGTGTGTGTGTGTGTGTGTGTGTGTGTGTGTGTGTGTGTGTTCACGTTATAGTTCACAGAGGGCAGAGAACAACTTTTAGGAATCCTTTCTTTCTGCCCTGTGGGTTCCAGATACCAAACTCAGGTCCTCAAGGGTTACACATGTGCCTTGACTCGCTGAGCTGTGGAGCCTGCTCCAGCCCTGACTCGCTGAGCTGTGGAGCCTGCTCCAGCCCTGACTCGCTGAGCTGTGGAGCCTGCTCCAGCCCTGACTCGCTGAGCTGTGGAGCCTGCTCCAGCCCTGACTCGCTGAGCTGTGGAGCCTGCTCCAGTTATTAGGACTTGGAATTAGTTATCAGTTCTGAGAGGACAGACTAGTAATGCCATTTAAGTGGGAGAAAGTCTTTTGTACAGCATTAGTATAGTTACTAACTTCTGAAAGAAAGGCCTTGGTGTTTTGATACAGATGCAGTGAAAATTGATTTTCTTGATTGAATTTAGTATAACACAAATCAACTTTTTAAAACAAGTATTGGCTATCATGTGGATTACAAAATATGTACAGATATATGTGTGCATGAATATTCTTTTACTGTCTGTGAGCGCTAACTGGGAATGGTATGGATTTTTGAAAAATCAAAGTCCACCTCCAGTAACATATCTCCTCCTACAAGGCTAAACCTCCTTATCCTTCCAAAATAGTGCCACCAACCTGGGACCAAGCATTCAAATATATGATGAGGCTATAGGTCCATTCTCATTTAAACCACCATGGTAATGTCCGAAAAACTGTATTCTTTTCCTTCCCCGTGTGTTGTACATTCATTCTACTGTGAGTTTTTCTGTGTGTGGATGTGCAGCATGAGCAGAATTAGCTTTCAGTGTTGTCTGTGTCTGTGTTTTATTGTTTTTATACCGTTTATTGAAAAGTCACCCTTTTTCTTTACTGCCAAAGGTCCTCATATTCATCCATTAGGAGACAAGTGTAGGGGCCGGAGAGATGGCTCAGTGGTTCAGCGCACTGGCTGCTCTTGTAGAGGGCCTGTGTTCACTTCCCAGCTCCCACACGGTGGCTCACAGCTGCCTCTTCTGTTCTGGGGATCTGATGCCCTGTCTAACCTCCACAGGTATCAGGCACACATGTGGCGAATAAGCATACACGCAGGGCAAAGCATTGATACCATAACAGTAAATAAAGATATAAAATAAAAAAAAGAAGAGTGCAGGATGGTCCAGTAGTGTTCTCATGTGAGAATGTGGCTCAGTAGTTAAGAACACTTGCCGTTCTTTCACAGACCTGGGTTCTATTCCAGCACCCACGTGATGCCTCACAACTATCTGGACACCCTCTTCTGTCCCGTGGCATCTGTGAACCCTGCATGCTTGTCATACATAGACATACACGCAGGCAAACATTCATATACATAATTTTTTTTACAAGGTTACATTCTTCATTGAGTTTATTCTCTCCTACCTCCTCTATCTCTCAAACTTATGGTCTCATTTTCTTTAATTGTTGTTGTGGTTATGTGCATGTGTATGCACATGCATGTCTGTGTCCATGTATTCCTAAATAAAATACCGTTTGCCCAGTCTATATAGTATTTCTTGTGTTTATATGTTTCAGAGCTGACTACTTGGTATCAGGTAACCAATTTGGGGGCCTCTTCCCTAGGGGAGACTATTTCCCCATCTCAATATTCCTTAGTTGTCTGTAGTTCTCTGTCCAGGGTTGAGGCCCCATAGGTTTTCTAACACATTGGCATGTCTGTTGGTGTTGTTGTCCTTGTTCAGGTCTTGTTTAGGCACCCATGTTGTTGAAACTTCATGGTGTAGCTTTCCTGTCATAGCTAAAAGACACTCTCACAGCAGACTTCCTGGTCCCCTGATTCTGGGAATCTTTCCACCCCCTCTTTGGTGCTGTTCTCTGAGCCTTAGATATAGGAGTTGTGTTGTTCATGTGACAGTTGTGATATGCAACACATGATTGCTTACTTGTACTCTGCAGTTTCATTGGTTGTGGTTTTCTGTAACAGACTTAGTCTGGCTAGACCCTGGTGCCAGCTGTGGAGGACCTGGCCAGGCAGGCGTACATATCTGGTTGTCATGTACCTGGCCTTTTACATGGGTGCTTGGGATTTGGACTCACGTCCTCGTGGTTGCATAGTAAATGCTCAGGCTCACTGATCATCCACCACATCTAGCCCCCTGGCCATAGAGAGTGAAGTTTGAGATGCAAAATGTTACTGAAGTTGCCAGACTAATATTACAAAATAAAGGTCATTCAGGATGATGTAGCAAATTGCTAAACAAGCTGAAAATTGGGCTGGCTCAGTGGTTAAAGGCACTTGTTTGTCACCAAGCTTGATGGGTGCCGTGAGTTGAATCCCCAGAGTCCACAGGGTGGAAGAATCAACTCTTAAATATTGTCCTTTGACCTCTATACGTGTGCTGTGGCATGCACATATCCACCCACACACATACCAATAGCCCTACACTTAAATCAATGTAGCAAAAATTTGTTTTAAAAGAGGCAAGTTCTTAGGAGTAATTCTTCATATATTTTTCCTTTCATATCATCAACTGATAGAGGTCACATAGATCACTATTTACAAAGACCTGAAACACCAGTTACTTGAAGGAAGTCCCAGGTGGTCAGCCCTGTTCTGGGGCCGCTCCTTGATGTCCATAATGAACATTCTGTATCCTGTCGTGGAATGGGTTTCTCAGTGTTGTCTAAGGAGTTTCTGTCTTTTCTTTTTCCTTTTTTTTCTTCAAGTTAACATTTCTCTATGTAGCCCTGACTTGTCCTGGCACTTGCTCTGTAGCCCAGGCTGGCCTCAAACTCACAGAGATCCTCCCGCCTCTGCCTCCCAAGTGCTGGGATTAAAGATGTGTGCCACCACTCACTCCCAGCTGAGTCTCTTTATTTTAAGCTTAAAAAATTAGTTGCTCAGTTTAAATGTCCAGGTGTGGGGTGGCACTGTCCTTTAAAATGGTTGACAGTTTATTTTCTTTGGTTTAGTTCATCTCGTTGATATCTGGAACATGATTGAAGCTTTCCGAGACAATGGCCTTAACACCCTGGACCATACCACTGAGATCAGTGTGTCCCGCCTCGAGACCGTCATCTCCTCCATCTACTATCAGTTGAACAAGCGCCTTCCTTCTACTCACCAAATCAGCGTGGAGCAGTCCATCAGCCTCCTCCTCAACTTTATGATCGCCGCCTATGACAGGCTAGTACCTCATACGCTCACTTTTAAATCGTGCCCATCTCCTCATCGCCCCCCCCACGCTGCCTTGCTGACAGCTTAGTTGAGGTGAATTACTCAGCCTACATCCTCCCACATTCCGGACAGTCACTGCTGGCCTCTGGTGTGCCACAGGTCTGTCACAGATGGGGAATCACCCACTTGAGTCATATCATTGGCTAAAATGATAGGCACTTTAGCAGACCTGTTCGCTCTCCAAGAATTAAGGAACATGCTTAAGCTTTGAACATGGTGATGTGGCTTTCTAGTTGACTTTAAGGCTAATCTTTCTTTACTCTGCAACACCAAACGCCTGTAGACTGAAGTTTTCTCCTGAACGTCTAAGAGTCAGTTTCAGACTTTTTCAGTTTGACGCACTGTGCGGTAGACTTTGCAAGAAGAGCAAGAGACCACTTGAGTGTAGCAAAATTAAAGTGGAAAGGACTTCCTCAGTTATAAAAGGCAAAGCAGAACCAAGCCAGTCCTGAAGGGTGGAATGTGGAGGAATAGTTCTGTTCCAGGAGCCAAGAGTTCCTGTCTCATCTCACTGTGGTTCTATTGACCATTGGGTTTGGATGGATACATTCTCTTGCAATTTCAAACCCTTGATAGAAATTGATGTTCTTTGTGACCAAGTAGCATTTGATCATGGCCCTGATTGGCCAGGGCTAGTTAGGAGCTTCTTAGGGGTATAGCTTTTCCACTCTCAGGCAAGTCTGAACAAGTCCCAGGCTTTGTCCTTATTTGGTTATTACCTGTGGGGTGGTGGTGGGGGCCGGTAAGGGGAGCGTGCCTTGTCCAGTGTCAGGGGCATTGGTGATTGATTGTCCTTTGTTTGTGAACTGAGGCCCAGTTCTTAACTGTGTTTTTAGGGCCTGTCATGAATTCACCTGGCCTTCTCAGTCTCAAGGCAGGAAGGTGGAGATAGAGGTCTCCTGATGTGCTCCTCTGGCTTCTGCGTGTACATGCATGGCCTCAGACAACCACACACACACACACACACACACACACACACACACACACACACACACACACGGGGAGGGGGCAGAATAACTGGACAGTTTATCAGAAGAAACAGAGAAGGGCTGTGTAGACTCTCCAGGTTCATTCCCCAGTACTGCCAAAAGAGAGAGGGGGTATGTGTGTGTGGGTGTGGGGGGGCATGAATGGAAGAGCAGGCTAGACAGAACTCGTCGATGCAGAGAGATGAAGAGGAAGGGGTGCACTGTGTTAGAGGGGGGCTTGGTAATTTTTGGGTCAGTATGTCTACACCTGACATTGGATGTCAGAATATGTTATCACGTCTTTACCAATTCTGAGATCTGATAAGAAGTTAGCTCTCCAGAAGTTTAAAATTGGCATCCTTGTACTGGAAACAAGAAAGGACCTGATTATTAAATCCTTCAAAGTTTAGCCACTTTATTGAATGGGCGTATTTATTGCTTAGGGTGGGGTGTTCCTTTGATATGTAGATTACCTAGTCACTTATTTTAATTGAGTCTTTCATATTTTGTATTCATAATTCTTCAAAATTAGAAATTGAATTCAATAATTAATTATTCTTAATTTCTTTTTGCCTTCAGATTTATAGTCAGTATTTTTGTCCAAATGTTTTCTGAGTGGTATCGTAGATTATAAAACTCCCATACATGTTAGGGACAATTGGAGTATAGGATTTTATTCCTTAAGTGAATATTTTCTGAGGATTTATTTTATTTTACTTTTTTAAAAGATGAGAGTTTTGCCAGGCGGTGATGACACACACCTTTGATCCCAGCACTCGGGAGGCAGAGGCAGGCGGATCTTGGAGTTGGAGGCCAGCCTGGTCTACAGAGCGAGTTCCAGGAATCCTGTCTCGAAAAACAAAACAAAGCAAAAAGATGAGAGTTTTAAATACTGTTGGAGAACTAAAAAAGAGCAGGCCTCTGTGTGTAGGACTGAGTAAAAGCCACAAGGAGGAATGAAAACAATCACAAACCCATTTTCATCCCCATGGTCTCTCACACCACAGGTGCTGATGTCCTGTGGTCTGCTCAAGCTGAGAGGCCCATGAAAGAGCCATGCAAGGAAATTTGCATTCCTAGCATGCAGAGATGGGGAGGCCGCCTCATTTCCTGCCAGATTTACATTCTGGGGCTGTTACTTACAACCCCCTTTCTGTTTCCTGCCTGCTTGTTAGTTTAGCAACTTAGATCCCAGGCAGAGAAAGTCCATGATAACAGGGGCCTGCAAGGAAGCCAGCCCTGTGCTTCCTCTGGCTGCATTTCCTCAAGCTGCTCCTGGCTTAGTCCTGTAGCATGAGTCTTAAAGGGTCTTATTAGTAAAAACAAACCTGGAGCCAGGTATTGGGGTGAACGCTGGAAGATCAGAGAGATGAACACAAGCCACAGATGACCTCACCTCACCTATTCCTCAGCTCATCTTGTTTCCTCAAACTGGAAGCCTCTGAGTCCTCATCTGAATGGCTCTCAGCTGAACTGCTGCTAAAAGCCTAAAAGCTTAACCAGCTCTAGTTCCTGGTCCTCACGCCTTACTTACCTTTCTGCTTCCTGCCATCACTTCCTGGGATTAAAGGCATGAGTCACCATGCCTGGCTGTTTCCAGTGTGGCTTTGAACTCACAGAGATCCAGACAGATCTCCACCTTTGGAATGCTAGGATTAAAGGCATGTGTGCCACCATTTTCTGGCCTCTATATCTAGTGGCTGTTCTGTTCTCTGACCACAGATAAGTTTATTAGGATGCACAATATATTGGGGGACACAACATCACCACATAGTCCTCTTCTTGTGTCAGTTTTATCCTTGGGCTGACTTCAGAAGGATGCCTGCCATCGGGTCCTACCAAAGCCTCCTCCTTCCACACCTAGGTAAAGGGAGAGAGGGGAAGAGCCAGCTTTTCTGAACATCAAACAGAAGTACCCAGGCTTCCCTCCAGACCTGTGCCCTTAAGTATGTCGTGCAAGGGTTCTGTCTTACACTCAGGCTGTCAGGGTGTGTACCCCTGGGGCACAGGTTGTTTAGTTCTGACCCTGACTGTAGGCTTCCATGTGGTGAGCGTGGATGATCTAGGTGTCCAGCGAGCTATTCTATGGCTTGGTGCTCATTGCCACGAAGCCTCATGCACACTGTAAGCTTGTGGATCCCTTTGTCAGGAAATGGCCCAAGTGCCCGGCAGTTCCTGAAACTTGAAACCCGAGAGTCACTCACGTTGTCTTCTCCCAGAGTCCACATGCAGTCAGTCAGTACTGAGTTCTTTCTGTCACATCTCCCTCCTGATCAGCTCTCCATCTATGTACCTCCCTGTAGAGTCCCGCCCCCCACCATCCGAGCCGTCCTCAGCTTCTCCTGAGCAGATGCATTGCTCTTCACTAACTCCCCCCCATATACATCTTCGCTCCCTCATTCATTCATTCCTAGAAATAATAAATTCATGCACTCACTCTCTACCCCAAGGATCGGAACACTGGCAGTAACTTTTTTTTTTTTTTTTTTTTTTTTTTAAATTTGAGACAGGGTTTCTCTGTACAGCTTTGGAGCCTGTCCTGGAACTCACTCTGTAGACCAGGCTGGCCTCGAACTCACAGAGATCTGCCTGCCTCTGCCTCCCGAGTGCTGGGATTAAAGGCGTGTGCCACCACCGCCTGGTCACTGGCAGTAACTTCTAATACCTCTGTTTTGTCTGGTCCCATCCCACTGACCTGTGCCTTGCAGGTGAGTAGGCTCCTGATTTGCTTTATCACTTTCAAAAGCTTCTCAAAAAAAAAAGTTTTTTCAAATTAGGCATGGTGGCACTTGTCCATAATGTACCACCCAGGAGGCAGAGGCAGGAGGATTAGGAATTCAGGTTATCTTCTGCAACAGAATGACTTCAAAGCCAGCCTGGGCAACATGAGACCTTGCTTCAAACAGTCTGCTGGCCTCCTCAATTAACCTTAGATTTTTCACGTTTAAAGATATAACCGAAGCACTGTTTGGTGCTGTTTTGGTTTTTTCCTTATTCCCCTCCCACCTCCCTTCCTTTCTTTCTGGTACAGGGATTGAACCCAGGGCTGTATGAATGCAAGCGTTTCTACCATTCTACACCTGTGAGCTGTGCCCACAGTCTGAGTATTGCTTAGTTTTAGACTTTTTTATTTTATTTTTTGAGACAGGGTTTCTCTAGGATCCTTGGTTGTCCTGGAACTCACTCTGTAGACCAGCCTGGCCTCGAACTCAGAGATCTGCCTGCCTCTGCCTCCCGAGTGCTGGGATCAAAGGCATACACCACCACCACCACCTGGCTTACTTATTTTTAAAGATAAGGTCTCATTATGTAGCCCAGGCTGGCCTGGAACTTCACGGAGATCCCCCTGCCTCTGTCTCCTGAAGGCTGGGATTAAAGGCGTGCGCCACCATCCTGGCTTTTGTTGATGTTAGTTGTAAAAAGACTGCTATACACTGTATAACGTAAAGACTTAAGGGTGATAGCCCTTAAAATTATTTCATCTGTCTGTCTTCCTTTGTTTCTCTTTATATCTTTTTTTTTTTTTTTTTTTTTTTTTTGGTTTTTCGAGACAGGGTTTCTCTGTGTAGCTTTGCGCCTTTTCCTGGAACTCACTTGGTAGTCCAGGCTGGCCTCAAACTCACAGAGATCCGCCTGGCTCTGCCTCCCGAGTGCTGGGATTAAAGGTGTGCGCCACCACCGCCCGACTGTTTCTCTTTATATCTTAATGATGACAGCATGTGCTTTTGGTTTTGCAAAGCCTAGTATTAAATGGCACTATTATAATTCTTTTCCTGGGTAATGTATTTTTATTTATGTCTATTTGTATTATTGTGATTGTGCATTTTTGTTTTGTATATCTCTAAAACTAAGCAGATATTTAGAATCCTTTTACTATTATTATTATTTTATGTGTGTGCGTTTTTTCTGAAGTGTTATGTCTGTGCACCACATGCATTCCCGGGGGCTGTGCAGGCCAGGAGAGGGCATCAGAGCCCCTGT